AATCTTAACTTGGCTGATTTTTTATCATTAAAGTTGCAATTCAACTTCTATCTCAGCAAAACATTCTCCCCTAATTGTCTAATTGGCCATCCCTATCACATTATTTTGCCTTTTTTGCCTATTTTCTTTATTTCCTTACATAGTTCTGGTCAAGTCCTCTACCACTTAAACATCATTCTATTCCTCTTGCTTTTGTTAAGTTTTGAAATTGTGTCTCCTGCTTTTACTTAGATTGCCTTTTCAAAGAGATTCTTTTCTCTATATACCCCTGACGAGGAGCTGGAATCATAGGATAGGTATGAACTACCTTTCACAATTTTTGGCTTTATTTTCAGTACTTAAAATGATTGTGTATATTGCGTTGCTCACTTGCATCTTTACTGTTCAACTCAAGTATAGGAAAGCATGTCTAGAATAGAAACCAAAATACAGTTTTCAAGACTACTTGTTAGTGAAAGAACGAATAAATGAGTACATTTAAATTCTGTGCCTAAAATTAAATATACATCTCAGAAAAAATGCTATCATGCACAAACATATTTCTTATGGTCCAAATGTACATAAATGTGGGTAATTTAAAATTAAACCTAAAGGTATGAAAATCTTCCTATTATTCTTTATTCTTCTTGTCAAGAACAGAAATTCTCCTGGGAAGTAGGGATGTAATCCAGAGGAGACCCAGAATTGCTTTGTGGAGAGAAATTTTAGACCATTTTTTTTTATCTCTGGACATCAGTTTTTCCTTTTAGAAGACTCAACTCTTAGCCAGGCATGTATGGCTCATAGTTGTAATCCTAGCTACTTAACAGGCTGAGATCTGAAAATTAAGGTTCAACATCAACCTGGGCAGGAAAGTCTGTGCAACTCTTGGCTCGAATTAACCAGCAGAACGTCAGAAGTGGAGGTGTGGCTCAGGTGGTAGAGCCTATATTGAGTGGAAAAATCCAAGTGAGAGCTGAAGGTCTTGAGTTCAAGTCCCAGTAAAGATTCAGATCTTCTACTTACTTAAACAGGCCCACTGGTGCTTACCAAAAGTTTCCACATGAACAGCAGAATATTTGCCAATACCCTGTTGTATACTAATTTCCTTGCCCTCTGACATGCAAGAAATTAAGTCTTCTATGTAGCATCATTGCTTCCCAGAAAATGACATTGTGTCAGGTCTCCTTCAGTAGCAGTGAATGTGTTTTGTTCTGTGTCTGAGTTTGTATTTTAAAAAGCCTCCATTTGTCCCACTTGTCCTTCCATTGAGTTCACAGAATACAAATGGAAAAGGTTATTACCAGACAGAGATGTTTAAAAATGAAAATCAAACCTAATACATGAACTGAGACAACTGGAATAAGGAATATAATATTTATTTTTAAAAAGTATGAGGCTGCAATCATTGCTCTAAAATAAAGCATTAAAAATTAATTCAAAGCAAACGTATCTGTGCTGCACCAAACCTCTTTTTCATTAAAGTAGCGCTGTGTGTTTTCCCAGAATTAGTTCCCAAATAGGTAAATAGCTTGTAAGAACTGAGAATTCTACAAACTGTACAAGAGCTACCACAGGCTTGATTTAGAGTTGCTTTTAGTATTAAAGCTTTCTGGACTTTTCATTTTGAACCAATTAACTGTGGTTCATGGTTTTCCCTCGATTAGTTTTTTTTTTTGTCCTTGAGTATTACTAGAAATGTTTGATTCATATACTTGTGTTCAATGTTCATTTGATTAATCCAAAGAGTGTTGTATTATTTGGTTAATTTGTAGGATACAGAGTATTAAATCTTGGATAAATGTGGGTACCAGTTAGAAGTTGTGCTTCAAATTTTCCAATCTATTTCTCATTTCAAAAAGTTTTGTATTCTGCCTTAAAAAAAGTTTGCTCCCGGGGCTGGGAAGGTGGCTCAGTGGTAGAGTGCTTGCCTTGCATGCCTGAGGCCCTGGGTTCGATTCCTCAGCACCACATAAGCAAAAAGAAAAAAGCCGGAAGCGGCGCTGTGGCTCAAGTGGTAGAGCGCTAGCCTTGAGCTGAAGAGCTGAGGGACAGCGCCCAGGCCCAGAGTTCATGCCCCACAACCGGACCCAAAAAAAAAAAAAAAAAGTTTGCTCCCTACTTTCACTGTTTTACATCATCATTAGTAGAATGTATTACTATTATTAGTAAGTACTACTTCAGAATACTCTGTAAAGAAAAAGGAAATGGGTACAATGTCTGCATATGTGGGAGATGAGTTTAGTATTTTGCCTAATTTACAGCATACTTCTGAAACCCTACAATAGATAACCTTATACTGTCAAGGCCCTATTGATTTTCAAATGATTTCATGTAAGAAAAACAATCCAGTTCCCATTGCCTTGACCAAATGCTCAGCCTTGAATAGTCCCTATTGGATCATATTAAATTAAAGTGAAACAAAACAAGAGAAAATCCAAAATGTAGATGGAGGTGGATGGGGAGCAGTGGTCATAGCTCAGTTCAGTAAATGGGTGCTTAACCTTTGACCAATGACGGAAGGTCTTCTTTGGTCCAGTTAGACCAAGAGAAAGCTTTTATGATTAAATTTTTTTAAAAAGCTGGTTAGAGACTTCTGAGAATGTCCTGGGAATTAAAGCATATGGCAGGGATAAGGAAAAAAGATTTTGCTTATGCTAATGACCCTTGATGTCTGAAATAAATTAGATCCATTAGAGTTTATGCTCAATAAAAGAAAGAGTTTAAGCACTCCAAAGTTAGTGACTCGAGACCAGTTTTTGCTCTGAAATTCAATCTGCCTACTTATTAATTCTTAGCGAAGCTCTACAAGCAGACAGAGTAGGCAAAAATCATAATTCTGTACTGAACCAGAATTTTAAAGAACCACAGGTTTCTTTTCTTTGTCTTTTAATTAAACCATTTTTCATGCTTCCCATTTTGTTTCCTTCATTAATTTAATTTTGTTACCATTTTTGTTTTGTTTTGTTTTGTTTTTCTTTTCTTTTCAAGGTTTCATTTATCCTATTTCAACTGAGCAGAGAACCCAAAGTGAATATGGATTTGCCTGTAAGTTTGATGTCTGGATTTTATGTTACTGAATAATCATTTAATACGACTGCCCAGTTCAAGTTTGCCTTTCTTTCGATCACAGATGTGCACACAGGAAATAGGAGGCTAATATATTCTAACATGAAAACAAATTAGATTTTCAATGCTGAGGAGAAAAAAAGGGTCATTTCAAGACTCCACCAGCTTTAAAATCTATCAATCTACCACTGGAAGCACGGGTCCCAGCCACTGAGAAAACATGTCATGAAATAGGCTGAAAGAAATAAAGGGCAGAGTTCAAATACTGAAAGGGAAAGGTTGAGAAAATACCATCTATTGTGCTGGAAATCATAAATGTTGAATAAGTAATTATGGCCTGGTAAGGTTAAAACATTAAGGATTTAGAATGGAATATTCAGACTACAATTCAGAATCCTACTACAGAGCTTTGAGTATAACCCAACAGTGAAGTGGAGTCACCTCATGGAAACCAATGTTGACATAATCAAGAGTATTTGAGATATCACTAGATTTCTGGGATGGGGAGGGATAGCTGTCAATATTGACTAGATTGACAGGAAAGTGAAATCGGGAAATTTGGGGGAAAGTAATACCTTTTTTTAAAAAAAAGAAAGCACAGTTCTTTCATAGTACTTTAAAACAAAAAACATAAAAGAGAGCCATTTCCAATGGAGAATTAGTTAATGGCTGGTAGGGAGCAAATGCGTTACAATGTAAGCTCCTAAGTAATGAGACAAGAAGCTCTTTTCCCTTATAAATTATCCAAGGAATGGGTGGTGCAACCTCAAATTTTAAGAGGTCACAGGATGTATGGATTTGAAAATTCTCTCTCCTCCAAAAGTATGTATTATATAAAAATAACCACCTAGAGTTCCAACCTAGCTAGGTCTTGTACAGCCAACAGAGCAGATTCGGTTGACTCTACTGAATCATTTTTATGTTTCATAGAACCCAAGACACAGAGAGTTAACAATGCCCAGGTGATTCATCCATTTCTAAATTCTGTTTGCTTTAATTTCAGCTTCTCACTGTTTCTAGTTGGATTAAAGCATGTTCCATGTCAGCAAGGCAACGTGAATCATTGATAGAACCATCTCATTTTCCTTTACCACAAAATAGGCCTTCAATGCATGGCACTTTGTGTCCATCAACTGGTTACTTTCCTTCCTTAATAATCTGTGATCACTAAGCCAGGCTTTTATCTTACCTAGGACACCTTAGAGCTATGTTTTCTTTCCGTAGCGAGCATCCCAAATATAAATTACTGCCAAGGGCCTGTAAAAACTTTCAGTTCTCAGAGATCATACAGTATCTACATTGAAGGCTCGGATTAAGAAGGTCGTAGGCATTAACCTCTGCCCCCATATCTTGTTCTTCTCTAAATACACCTTTCTAATCTAGCATGTTTGCTTCTTATATTTGCCTTGCTTAGTTGAACCATTCCCATTCACCCTCTCCATTGACTTAGAGGAAGTGAGAAGCCTTCTCAGGAAAGTTTTTTTAATGACTGGGATTGATGCTTACAAATACATTCTGGTTCCATAAATACAGAGATTCAAAGCATGCCCAGAAATGTTTAACCCTGCTCTCTGTTTTTAAAGAACAATCAGTGAATTCAAAACACCTTCTAAACTTTTTTCACCTGAAAGGAATCATAAACTTTTCTCCTCTGTGGGTTGGGATGGTTTTAGCTTCCGTTACATTATATGCCTGGCAATAAATGGTCTGTTATGCTGCCCAATTATAAGATAGATTAGTGGGTGGATTGATGCAGAGTGAGAAAGAAAAAGAAATCAGAGATAATTTTCCACCAAAAGGCCACAGTCATTTTATATAGCTTTTGAGATAGACTTGAAATTAACCTATAAAAATAAAGCAATAAATGTCGGGGAAAATTACAGTGATGCATATTTGTACCGTGGGAAGGCTCTACAAAGAGTTGGTCCGATGTTTCATCCGTTCCTTTCTAGCTGCACCTGATTCAGATGATGTTGCTCTCTATGTTGGGATCGTGATAGCAGTGATCGTTTGCCTGGCCATCTCTGTCGTGGTGGCCCTGTTTGTGTATCGGAAGAATCATCGTGACTTTGAGTCTGATATCATTGACTCTTCCGCACTCAACGGGGGCTTCCAGCCTGTGAACATCAAGGCAGCCAGACAAGGTCAGTGGGCATTCCAGTCCTCACCCTCTCATTCACACATGGGAACTTCTTCCCTTGTATGGCTCTGAATCTGGTGACATTTGGGTCACTCAGTTCAGCTAGAACATAAACTCATGAGGATAATGACTTTGATTGACTTTTTCATTACAGAACCCAGCTTGGAGGACATTCAACATAATGAATGAGAGTTGACAAAGTGCACAAATCATCTTTTTGCCTCTTTCCTGACAGGTGGTTCTGTCCTGATATATAGTCTTCTATCTGGAAAAAAAGAAAGAAAAGCACATAGACTCAGCAAATGACTTCCTCGTCTCATTTACCCTTTTGGGGGAGGGCACAGGGTATACTCAAGTTTCACATTTGCTTGGCAAGCCATCTACTCTAATGCATGAAACACAACCCTAATCTTTTACATTTTTTAAAATTTATTTCTCACATAGGGTCTCTTGCTTTTGCCCAAGCCAGCGCAAAAGGACCAAGGTTACCAAATAGTGTTCTCGTGGGACTTATTGTTCAATCTGATCTGTTGAAACAGAAAAGTGCTTTAGATGTAATAAATAGGTACCCAAAAAATAAATATGGAATTAAATGGGTTTCTTACTTGTAACCAATAATTAAATGAATACATATTGTCTGATTGTGCTGTTATTATCAAAGCCTTGAAGTCCATCCATCGCCAATATGAACTGCTTTGCTTTTGTCTCACTAATGTACACTGGCCTACATGGAGAATATAACTGTACTTCTTTTCTCTTTCAGATCTTCTGGCAGTGCCCCCAGACCTCACGTCAGCTGCAGCCATGTACAGGGGACCTGTCTATGCTCTGCATGATGTCTCAGACAAAATCCCAATGACCAATTCTCCAATTCTCGATCCACTGCCCAACTTGAAAATCAAAGTATACAACACCTCAGGAGCCGTCACTCCCCAAGACGACCTCTCTGAGTTCACATCCAAGCTCTCTCCACAGATGACCCAGTCCTTACTGGAAAATGAGGCCCTCAACCTGAAGAACCAGAGTCTCGCCAGGCAGACGGATCCATCCTGCACTGCCTTTGGCACCTTCAACTCTCTTGGAGGTCACCTCATCGTGCCCAATGCAGGTAATTCTTAAAAGGTGTAACTGGCAAAGAAGTGTCTTGAAGGAATACTTTTGCTCCTAGTTCTTTATTGCTTTTATTAGACCTGAACAGTTAAAGTCGCCTATTTAACCTAAGTCTGCTTTTGATATAAATCAAACAACTTCAGGCAAACATTTGCCAACCATTTATCATCTTCCCCCAACCAACTCCTCCAAAAATATTACACTCAAGACTTTCTCCTGAGCTATAATTCACAACTGTCACTGACCTTCTCTATAGTACAAAATCAGAAGGTAACAGTAAGCCAGGATCTCTCCCAGCCGCTAGCCCTTTAGAGGATGACTTAATTTGAAAACAGGAGTTGGTTCAATTCCAATTTAATAAAAAGAAACAATTACCTCAGAATACTAATTTTTACATGACAAGAAACATCGTAATAGACATCAAGTCTTCATTTATGAACTTAACTCTTCATAACAATCTTCAATCATAAAGTGATTGTCAGGTTGTCATTCTAACTTTTGAGATATCTACCTGTCAGCTTCTTCTTCAGGTGTATTATGCAGTATATCTGCATCTAAACAAAAAGCCTTACAGCTGTCTTTTGTATTAAAGGTAGTGATGCTGTTGAAGATTTGAATTCATTTAGTAATAGTGGGAATAGGTTGGAACCTCAGGTCATACAAAGGCCAGTGGCTTCTTCTTTGAATATACCTTAACTCTTTTGGGCAAGACTCTGAGTACTTTTAAATACAATAAATAGAAGCAGCCTAACTTAGTGTGTTACTGTAACATAACACTATGTTACGTTACACATACATACAGTCAAGAAAACCTCATGACTCTCTAGGCCTGAATATAAAACTTCTTTGATTCTTTTCATTCAAACTCCCATGTTAATGCTTTAGTAACTTTTGAACCTGAAATCTTAAAAAAGGTATTTTAATAAAATTGTAATATGTAATAGAAATCACTTTTTCAATATGTCTTTGAAATATATTGAAAAATACATTTTCAATATATTTTTATGTACCTAAGAGCATATTTTCTACAAAATACTTTTTTTCTCATTAATTCTCATTCTACATGCATGCTCCAAAAATCATGATATGTACTCATAATAATCCCATCAAAAATATATCCTACTATTTTCCCAGTTTGAATGTTATAAATGTTTCTAACACAGTAATTTCCTCTATGGTATGTATTAGACTCTGCTTTTTATTCCCATTTTCCAACGTGAATAATTATAAAAGTTTTAGTTTTTGTTTTCTTTTGTTGGTTGTGGAGCTTGAACTCTGGGCCTGGTCACTGTCCCTCAGCTCTTCAGCTCAAGGCGAGCGCTCTACCGCTTGAGCCACAGCGCCACTTCCGGTTTTCTAGTGGTTTATTGGAGATAAGAGTCTCAGGGAATTTCCTGCCTGGGCTGGCTTTGAACTGTGATTCTCAGATCTCAGCCTCCTGAATAGCTAGGATGTGTCAGAAATTATTCTTTTTAGTTTGCATGTGTTTTTTAATCCCTGTAATGATAAGGGTCCATTTCATGACTTTTGAGTCTGAGTCTAGGTAGCCTCATACGCAGTCATTCCATTCCTGCTCTGAGCCAGCATAAAACATTCTTTCACCGGCACCACAATCCCACATTCCCAACTCCACAGCTCTCTGATCACTTGCCTTTTCAAAAGCACACGCCAGCATCGTCATCCAGCTTTGCCAGCTATGACTACCTCTTTCCCCGGAACACACCATTCTTTATTTTTAAGATTTCCCAACATGGTTTGGGCAAGCTTTCTTACTGCTTCATACTCATTTGGCCTAGTCTACTTCCTTACTAATTGAATTACATGTTAGTCAGGGACAAGAACTAGCTTTTACTTCTTGGCCTTCATAGCAGTGCCAAACACAGTACATACAAGGATACTCTATTAACTTTTATAGAGCTGAGTTAAGTGTATTTCATAGGGAAAAAAATTATAGCCCCCCAACGGCTCTCAGTGCCGACTACCCAGAATCACTGTCTGTGCTGATGATCAGTAATGCAGGCTGGTGTTCTCCAACACTGGACCCAGATCACCAACCTGGTCATCACCTGGAATCCAGTTAGAACTCAAAAGTTAACCACTCACCCTCCCAGACCTTCAGAATCAGACACTGTGGAGTAAAGTTCAGTAATCTGTGTTTTAAATTACACTCCAGGTGATTCTTGTGCAAGGGGACATTTTCATACTATTGCTACCGGCACAGTTAGCTTAGAACACAGCTCAGCCCAATTTGTTCAGCTAAGAGCGTGACCTAGCAACCAACTACAAAGGCTCTGACCAACTTTGTGGCTAAACTAGCAATTGCTCACTTTTCTAGAGTTATGCATAATACTGTAACTTGTCAACCAGTTCTTTTTCTATTACGAAATAACACTAATGATAACCAGATATTTCAGGACAAAAAATATTTTTATATATCTGAAGTCAGTTTAGCATTTCCCTCACTTTGAATCTTGGGAGGATTTTTTTTTATTAGAAACAATGGACTATTACCCCGGTTTGGGATTTTGATAGCAGTCTTTTGGATTTTCCCGTGTTCTACAAGGAAAATGACAGTAGAACCATCTGTCTTACTTATTAAATCAAACATGAATTTCAAAATTACATCACACTTTTAAGTAATCCCCTAACAGTTCAGAAGGTGGATTCTCAGTAAGGCCAACAGAGAAGAAAGCAGAATTCCTGGGAATAGTCACAGGTTTTTAGAGAACAGGAAACAAGTTTAGGGCTCCACGATCACACAATCCCTTCATTCCCTTTTGCTCACTGCAAAAAGATTCTAGAAGTTTCCTCTTGATTAATGGGTCTTACACTTTTTTTCTTTTGCCGTTCAGGAGTAAGCTTGCTGATTCCTGCCGGGGCCATTCCCCAAGGGAGAGTCTACGAAATGTATGTGACAGTACACAGGAAAGAAAGTATGAGGTAAATATGCTTTTTTTCTGATGCATTTGAACTGTATCAATGTCTAGCTTGCAGGAGAATAATAATAAATAATGGAAATAATGAACCCAACATATTTTTTACCTTGACATGCATTTTTCCCTAGACTTATAACAAATCAAGTGTGTACTTTTCTTCACCTTTGAAACTTGAGGAGACACTTTTGCAGATCTTGAGTATGGGTGGAACGTCAGAAAAAATAAAATAAGATGCTTGGATTGTCCAGAGAAATTGTGTGAGTCACAGACACTGAGATCACATGGCCTGACTCAAGAATCCAGTTTGTTCCCATTATAAAGATCAAAAAAGGATTGGGCTTCTCCTTCATCCTTGACCTCCCTCTCCTACCCCAACATAGCACAGACATACACACATTCTTCCTCTTCCTAGCAAAAACATCTTTTATATTTTTTATGCTTATAAATTCCACACTTTAGAATATTCAAAGTGTCTTTAGGGTTGGCTAAACCAAATTGAATTAGACGGTTCTATTTTGAATGCGTCCTAATCATAAATACGAAGTTTTATTTACGTGAAAACAAGAAGTCAGGCACTGGTGGCTCACACCTGTAATCCTAGCTACTCAGGAGGCTGAGATTTGAGGATCGCGGTTCCAAGCCAGCCAGAGCACAGAAGCCCTTGAGACTGGTCTTCAATTAACCACCAGAAAGCTGGATGAGGAGATATAGTTCAAATGGTAGAGTACTAGTCTTGAGCAAAAAAAAAAAAAGCTCAAGGACAGTGCCCAGGTCCTGAGTTCAAGACCTGGGGCTAACACAAAAATAGAGGGAGGGAAGGAAGGAAGGAAGGGAGGAAGGAAGGAAGGGAGGAAGGAAGGAAGGAAGGGAGGAAGGAAGGAAGGAAGAGGAAGGAAGACAGATTTTCAGTTCAGTCTCTAATGAATCATAGAAAGTCTTGCTTGATTAATTCCCACAAAAAGTATGTGCATTAAATGGTGAGTTAGAGTATGTCTGATTAATATATCTGAAGAATGGTAAATTCCTTTTTTTAACAAATTGTGATAGTGAAGAGGGATCGGCACTGCCTCTCATCGCTGAGCTCTACAAAGCCTGAGTGACAAATTCAAAACTAGGTTATCATTACCTCACATTTCTCCTTTCCTCTCCTCTGCTCTCATCTTTGGAACAACATCCATTTTTAGTCTCCATTTTCAGTAGCTTCCTTATGCACTCAGGTACAGATATTGGTATTTATAATCATGCTGACCTAGAACATTTCCTGCCCCCCCCTCAGGTCATTGTACAAATAAACCTGCACAAATAACCAGAATTAGAGAATTTTTTAAATTTTTCCTTAATGTTATTCGTGCCTTAAGTTTGAGCAACAGAAAAATCACTAAAAGGTTTGTATTTACCAACATCAAATATTCATTCCCTATGCCAAATAAATCCATAAGCCATCAGAACTCTCTTTTGCTCTAACAAGAAAAAAAAGATTTGCAAACTCTAAGATCTTTTTTATTTATTTGCTTGTGTCCAGAGTCAAGGTTAACATTAAACATTCATCCATCAAGGCCTTTGCCAGCCTGGACATTTCGTTTAAGCAGAAGCAAATAATGGATTGTGCTTTTGGCTAAGAAGCCATGAGGTCTTCATGGTCTCCTCCTTTCATGTGATTACTATTATCTTCAGCTAAAGTTCGAGGCTTAAGTCTACCATAGTGATAGGTTGACCCTGAAAGGAGACAGATAATCTCCTGCCCTTCCTTTAGCTTTGCTTCCCATCATACAGTGATACCCTAGCTAGGGTGATAGAACCTTTTAAGTGGAGGAAAGACAATAGAATATTGATAGAGCCAGACAACTGTTTCTAGGTCCCCCTGTCTTTGACTACAAAGGAAAAGAAGCAACTCACTCCTTGCTATGCTAACAAGGGAGGTGCACCAGCAATGACTGTTAGATCTAATGTTTATTAGAGAAGTTGTGTCTATGAACACAAAGCTGGAGACAGCTCAGTACCTAAAAAAAACTATGTACCAGAGACCGTGAAACAAAGAACCAACACCCAAAGATGACTGTGTCAGACAAATGAGAATTCCTCTCGCCCCTAATTTTCTGTTGTGATCCACATTGTGTTTTTCTTATGAAAACACAAGAGTAAGAATTTGTTTTAGAATATAATAGTAATGCAAAGTTTCTCCGCCACTTAGTTTTGCATACTCTTCATTCCATTCACTCTTCAAGGCAATTCTGCCAGTTATAATGTGCTGTTTCTCCCACATAAGACCAATACAACACACCAGGCCTCTGCCTTCTTATCGTGCATTTGAACACATTTTCTATGGCTCACTAAAGACCCTTCGGATGCTCATGTAATACAGGCCAGAACTTTTACTGGGAGAAGACACAGGAGGGCATCAGGAAATGGTCGTGTATCACTTCAAAGCATTTATAGGAAAATTCTGAACATCTCTGTCCAGATTTCTTCTTTGCTGATTCCTCAGATGGCATCCAAAACTGGGTGTGCGTCCAGCTGGATGACATCCAAGCTGGTCATCTGCTGATGCGGATTGTCTGAAGGGAGGCATGAACTTAATTACATGTGGCATGGGGAGTGTGACAAAGGGGGCTTTATCGAGACTGAATATGCTGTAAGGAAAGCACGGTCTGGCAGGTGCAGAAGCTGAGGAGCCAGAGATGGGACAAGTCATGTCTCAACAAAGAGCAGAACAGCCCGACTGTGCTCAAGAGTCTTGTCTCTCCTACTCTTCAGAGCTCCAAAGAGGCTGGAAAGCCTTGCTCTCCATCTGAATATCATTTCTGTGTTTCATGTACTAATGTGGCCCTTTTCTTTGCCTTGCTTCTAGGAACAATTTTTTTTAATGAGTGTAATTGAGACTTTTCCTTTTGTCAGTGTTTTAAAACACACACACACACACACACACACAGACACTTCATACTGAAGATTTCAGGGTTATTTTTTACCCCTTTCTTGTGTGCTCTGTACTCACCTACCCATTTTATCAAAGGCTGAAAAATCAGTCCAAATATAAAAGTAAACAGAATGGGAACTCTTTTCTGTGTGACCTACAGCAAGGCACATAGGTTTCTGCACAGCAGGAATAATAGTGTTTTTTAAAGATTGGTTCGTTCTGGGCACTAGTGGTTCATACCTAAAATCCTAGTTCCTCAGGAAACTGAAATCTGAGGATCATGGTTCGAAGATAGCCTGGGCAAGAAAATCCATGAGGCTGTTATTTTCAATTAATCACCAGAAAACTAGAAGCAGTGAAATGGCTCAAAGTGGTAGAGTGCTAGCCTTGAGCAAAAAAGTTCAGTGACAGTACCCAGGCCCTGACCCCCTTGACTGACCCCCCCACAAAATAGAAAGAAATAATGATTGATCTGGTGACGGTGTACAGATGGAAGGCACTGGTAGAGGGAACAGCCTCTTCCTGAAGGCTTAGTGCCAGGTTGGCTCCTGCAACAAGCTTGGTGTGAGGAGAGAGGGTCTGAGTCGGTGTCTTGCACTTTAGGTAGATTCAGTGGTTGACACCCATCACGCCAGATACTGGGGACACAAGGGGCTAAATCTGAGATTACCATTCAAGACCAACCCCAGACAGAAGTTTGGGACACCCCAACTCATTTGATAAATACTTTGGTGGCATGATGGCACTCACTAGTCATCCCAGCTAATCAAGAAGGGTAAACAGGAGGGTTGCAGTGGTTACAGGGCAATACATACATACATACATACATACATAAAACAAAAGCAAGACTCTACATGAAAAATAACTGAAGCAGAGAGGTCTGGGGACATGGCTCATGTGGTTGGAACATGTGTTAAAAGTACAAGGCCAGGGTTGGGAAAGTGGCTTATTGGTAGAGTGTTTGCCTAGCATGCATGAAACACTTTCAGTCCCACATGAAAAGGAAAAGCAGGAAGTGAGGCTGAGGCTCAAGTGGTATGGTGCTAGCCTTGAGCAAAAGAAGCTCAGAGGCCATGCCCAGGACTTGAGATCAAGCCCCATGACTAGTAAAAAGAATTTTTTTAATTAAAAAGCATAAGGCCAGACCCCTGAGTTGAAACACAAGTAACATGGAAGAAAAAAGGGAATGGGTTAAGGTGTAAGTTACTGATGAGGTAACCTTATCCTATAGATCCACCAGATTGGCATTATTTCTGGGTGAAACTCGAAGGTATTTCTTCTCTTCAGTACACAACCCTTTCTCATTTCTGAGTTCTAGTTCCTTTCTCTTTAATAAAGAAGGCAGTAGAGTCTAGACATGTGTAAAGTTTATTCTCTCTCAGCTCTAAATAGCGTTGACTTACAAAAATCTGACTAACAGAGAAAGTCTTCCAAGTAGATAATAAAAACACCTTCTTTAAAATAGAAAGTGAGTTTTTTCCTCTTTTTTATTATCTTTAAACTGTTAGACAAAGGGGTTTCAAATTAACATGCCCATTGATGTGTACAATACATCTTGATCAGTGTCACCGGTGGAAGGGGAAACTTTAAGAAAATGGATGAAAAAAGATAATATAATGGGAAAATATGCTGTGAAAGATAAGATAGTCAGGTGAGCAATTAGAATGTAAAATACTTGGCATATTCCCAAGCACATTTCTTGGTAATAGATCATAAATCATCTATTTCAAAGTTTTCAAATGTCAAGACATTTTGGCATACACCAATAATCCCAGTACCCAGGGAATCTGAGACAAGAAGATTACAGGTTCAAGTCCAGTTGGAGCAACAAAGTAAAACTCTGCTTCTTTTTTAATTAGAGAAAGAAAGCAAGAAAGAAAGGGAAGGAAAATGCAAGGCTAGGGGAAGGGATATATGCTCTAAATTACCGGATCCACATATTCATGAAGACAAATTATGCCAAAAAGCTCATTCATTCCTGCTTTGGTTCCTCATAAAGAAGACATTTTTGTTGAGATATATAATCGACAGCATATCTGAAAATAACAAGGAATCTCAACAGCTGCTTCTGGTAGTGTCCCTTAATGGAA